GAATCTTTTTGCACACACTCCTCTTTCATCCTGCCCTTACATGCTCCATATTTTGCCCATAAGCATGTGACTACATGCAACATGTGCCAGTAACACTGCTTTTTGCATCCTTATAAAACAGAAGCTTCCCATGATTCTTCTCTGTCAGGCAGTTTATGCGTGATATAGAGGTCAGAACCTCTGCTGGATTAGTCCAGTGACTGGTGCCCAGACTCAAAGCTTAACCTCCATGCCAACATGGAGCAGGGTTTTAGGGTCACTGGAGCAGGTCAGCATGAAGCAAAGACAGTTTTCATGTTTCCAGAGCTTGGGTGTGGTGTTAATTCGCCAGGAAAGGAGAACTGAAGCACATGGAGTTAAAACTGATGTTAGTTAAATGTGCTTCTCATCTGTTATCTGTTTGTGAGAGAATTAAAAAAACATCCCCAGGCACCACAAGCACTAAAGATCTTAAAAGGCTTTAGTCAGCATTAGTGGTCGACCGATATTTGTTTTTTGATAGCCGATGCCAATATCTTGGAAAGCAGGTTGGCCGATGGCCGATATAAATCCGATATAATTTTATTTATTTTAATTAATATTTAAGAAATTTGAAATGGATTAAAAATAAATGTGTTAAATAAACATACTTTAGATGACAAAGTATTTTTCACAAATAAATAAATATTTAATAAAAAATATAATTAAAAAGTAAAAGCCAAGGTAACACTCATTTTACATATAGCACACAGTGAAAATTACATGAATATGGCAGTGGGCAAATGCATAAAGTGCAGCATAATTTAAAATCACGAGTTTAAAGTTTGTCGATTGCGCATCTCCAGTGAAGCTGAACTCTACTCCTGTCAGCATTCAATTCACGGATCGACTGTCACACAGAGAACACGCGATCATGCAGGATACACACATGCACACTTCACAAGATCTCACAACTGGATCCGACTAAGTTTGCAAGGTTTTTGAAATTAGATGTTTATTAGACATTCAAAGATTTGTTTAAATGATATAAATGTGTATTTGCTGAATTCTGATGGCAAACAAGAACGAGTAAGGAGCCATTGGCTCCATATAAGAAAAAAACGTATTTTCAACTTATTTTTTTTAGGTGCCACAGAATAAATGTGTTTTATTTATTTTATTATTATTATTATTTATTATTATTTTTTTTTACATTTTAACATTTCAATAATACTGTCTGCAAAATAACTAAATTTAAATATAATGTAAATGTAAATAACAAAACTAAATTGAAATTTTAAAACAAGCCCCAAATCAAATAAAATCAAATAAAAAATTTGCCTTCAGTTTTGTGAAACTATACATAAAAAATATCTGCATGAAACAGAAACAGCAGACGAGCTGAACGAGACGCAGATTCACTCTCTGCCAGCAGGTGGCGCTTAAAGTGGTTCCTTGGTTTCAGCTGTAAACAAAGCAGCGCTGCACTTATGGCAAGATGAAAAGAAAAAATACCATCTAAACTTTTCTAAAGACAGTAAGTTCCCCTCAGACATACATTCATATAAACTCCTACCCCTAATTGAATCGCGATTTGTTTAGCATCTCAACCGATTTGAATCGTCACATATTTGAATCGATTTTCAACCGGCTCGCGGTGAATCGTTACATCCCTAGCAATAGCGCATAAATATAGCAAAATGCTCCTCTTTATAGTTATTTTTTTAGCTGACTGATGATCTTATGGAAACCGAATGGTTATTCTGAGGTAAATGTATTATTACGTTGCAGTGTTTACAAGCTTTACACGTTTTCCACAGTTTGAAACACTGAATGAGCTTTTACATGAGACATTTCAGTAAGTTGTACTGTAGGCTCCCTTATAAAATAGCCCTTTTGATGTTAATTCATGTTCATTTTGTACTATAGTAGTAAAGAGAAAGATATAATGGGTTCACTTACCACTTGAACGGAGGCGCTAAAGCGATCGATCCTGCTTCATTAAAGAGTGCCAAAACTGTATTTATTGTTAGAATTTCGTTATGAATTAGGCATAATTTATAGCTGATACTTTGTTTATTAAAAAGTAACAAAGCACAAAGCCTTTTGCGATATTGGACGGCAAGTGCGCTTCAAATAATATGAAGTTAACGCATTAACAGATCACAGCATATAGACTAAGAAGAAGCCATATTAGTAATGATTATAAACGAGAACTGTTAACGATATTGCCAATATCCACACAGCTGACAGCTTTACCTGTTGTAGTTTGTTCAAGTTGAGAACGAAATAGACACTGCTTTTGTGCACTTTTACTTGCACGTGACGTCTCCGTCATCTCTCTGGCTGCGTGTGTATTTTCAGTTGTATTAAAGTATTTAATTGGTATTTTTCAATAATTAATAAGTTCATAATCTATATTTTCTACCATCTTTTTTTTTCATTAATCTAATCACAGTGCATTCTGGGTTTGCCTACTCTGCAAAAGGTTACAAATTAGGTTACAAATTGCTGCCTTAGAATTTGTCTAAAATGTTGCTTCTTGGAAGGCAGCATTTTCTGTTTCCTTTATTTTTAATAGTATTTAATATTTTTATTTTATTATTAGGTTGTGTTTTTGTTTTAACAAATTTATTACAATTTGTTATTGTTGCACAACAGAGTCAAGAACCTAGGCGTTGTCTTTAATTCTGATTTATTATTCGACAAGTAGATAAATTCTGTCGTGAAAGGAAGCTTCTTTCATCTCCGATCCATCGCCAAATTAAAACAGTTCCGCTCAACGAAGGACCTAGAGGTAGTGATCCATGCACTTATTACATCCCGGCTTGATTACTGCAATTAGTATGGGTTATTATATAATTAATATAATATATATAATGTAATTATATGGGTTTATATCATTCCTCTATACATCGTTTGCAGTTGGTCCAGAACGCGACAGCTAGACTTTTGACGAGCACTAGGAAGAGAGAGCACATTACTCCTGTTCTCACTTCCTTGCATTGGCTACCAGTTAAATACAGAGTCAATTTTAAGGTTTTGCTGCTTATGAAGCTGTGCATGAGCTAGCACCTCAATATATTGCTGATCTCCTTAAACCATATTCTGTGTCAAGATCTCTCCGCTCTTGTAACCAATTGCTTCTTTCTGTTCCCCGGTCTCATTTAAAGACTAAAGCCTGTATTATACTTTCCGCGTGCGTGAGTCTGCTAGGGTCCGCTATGGTATGCGTGACGTAAAAATCGTCATCAGAGAGTGTGCGCGGAGGCTCTGCGCGGACATCCGCGTGCCTCCCATTTTTTGTGACAGCGCGTACTTGTCCGCGCTACAAAAGCACCAACTGCGCATGCGCAGGCTGTGTGAAGAAGCCCGTTGCTACTCGAACCTGTACAATCCGTCGATAAAACAATATAAAGGCAGTAGTGCTGGGCGGTATGACCAAAAATTTATATTAAGGTATTTTTCAAAATTATACCGGTTTCACGGTACATGACGGTATTTTTTTTTCATGCATGACCGGGTGTTAACCATATTTTCTACTGATTGAGAGAGGAAATACTGCAGTATATTGACTTAGAATGCCCTATTTTACTGTCATGATGAGTGAATATTGTCAAAAAATACCACACTAAATAGTGACTAAACACGACCCCTTTTAATAGATGTTAACCAGGAGTCACTCTCATCCAGATGTGCAATAACTGTGGGCAATTGTTTGTTCACATGTTCGTTTACTCTTCAAGCCGATCTACTGCGCATGTATGGAACATGTCCGCAGAGCGGACCATCAGCGTATGCTTTCGGTAGTATAAATACAAGTAGTCCGCATCCGCGCTGTTCGTGCACGCGTCCGGATTGCTCTCGCGGAAAGTATAACAGGCTTAGAACGAGCTGTTTTAGGTAGGCGTGGTTGACTCTTAACTTTTATAAAGAATATCTCTTTGGATTTGAGACTTTAGTGTGTGTGTGTGTGAGACGCGGGAGCTGATGGCAGGGGGCGGGTGGATATTTGTGGCGGTCAATGTGGATATTGTGGATGAGTTCTTCTGTGTCATCACGTTCTATTAGTTCTACAGCTTCAGTTTTGGAACTTTCACGCTTAGTAACACATACAGCTGTTCCCTCACCACAGTACAACAGTGAAAAGGGACCCCTTTCAAACAGTGTAGCGTTCCGAACGTTGTTTAAGCGACATACTTTGTGTATTGCGGTATTTAAAAAATTCATATCATAACAAAAATAAACACCGGTATTCGGTATGAACCGGTATACCGCCCAGCAGTAAAAGACAGCCAGATGTGCAATAACTGTGGGCAATTGTTTGTTCACATGTTCGTTTACTCTTCAAGCCGATCTACTGCGCATGTATGGAACATGTCCGCAGAGCGGACCATCAGCGTATGCTTTCGGTAGTATAAATACAAGTAGTCCGCATCTGTGCTGTCCGTGTACGCGTCTGGATTGCTCATGTGGAAAGTATAACACAGGCTTAAGGGTGATCGAGCTTTTGCAGTTGCAGCACCTAAACAGTGGAATGCACTTCCAGTTGCCGTGAGATCCTCTCCCACGTTGGACACTTTTAAATCTAGATTGAAGACTCATTTATTCTCTTTAGCCTATGATGTTGCCTGAGAATATTGGGGTTATAAAGTTGTGTATGGTTTATCTTGCATGCTTTTATTTGTATCTTATGAGTTTATTTATTTATTTGTTGTTGCTTTTGATGTTTAATTATATGTATAAATTGTACAGCACTTTGGTACAACGCTTGTTGTTTTAAATGTGCTTTATAAATAAACGTGAACTTGAACTTGATTTATAAAAAAATCATATTATTGAAACTCATGAGAATCTACGAATCTGCTATTTTGCAGACTCTGATTAATTTTACTTAATTTTTCATTTTATTTCTTTATTATTATTAATAATATAATAAAATAATACACACTAAAATCATAACTATCAACTATAATGAAGCTCGTATTTTACAGACTATCTTTAGTTGGTCTAACTCATCTTTTTTTGTTTTTTCTTCATAGATTGTTCGTTTTCAAAATGTGAGCCCAAAGCCGATGTCTCCAATCAAATAACAGGTAAAGAACATCAAAACTGTTGATAGTTTATGTTCATGCTGTGTTCTTGAGTCTGATTGGCCAGTAAACCTCAAGTTTCATCACAACCTAAAAAAAACATCTAATTTTGCTATTCACTTTCACCTGTGTTTTTCTGCTTGGCAGGTTTTGGCTTTGTTTGTTTTGTCTGTACATTATCATGAAAGGAAAGACGTGTTTGAGGGTTCTTGTCTCTGTTTGATGTTTTGACTGGATGTCTCTTTCTGACAGAGAAAAAGCACAGCAAATATCAGAGCTTGAGAAGCACAGCAAATATCATGTCCGCTGGATAAACATCAAACGATGTTTGACGTTTTGTATACACAGACAACAAATGAATTGTTTTATCCGCGACTTGAACCCTGACTCTGATCAGCTATTCGTCCATTAGTATAAACTTTTTTCTTTGTCCATAGTGTGGACATAGCTCGCTGGCAATGATCGGGAGCGTATGTTGTGTATGATACACATTCTTTACATCTCTGACATGATGATTTTGAGTCAGGAAATCGCTGCTCCCAGAGCCGCAGAAATGTTGACAGTTCACACTCGTGGGGTTAAAATGAACCACATGTGCGCAATAGGGAGGAATCTGCCAGTGTTTTCAGAGCGAGACATCCAGCAGTTCTGTCATGAACACTTTTATGGCCTGTGCTTGCTGTAAGGAAGGTTTTACTACCCTAAAGTATGCTTCTCCAAATAACCAATCCATACTACTATAAAAGTAATAGTATCCAGCGTTGGGGAAGTGAAACTGTAGCTTGCCAAGCTACTCATATTTTAAAGTAGCTTAGATGGTCAAGCTACTCATTTGATAAAGTAGTTATTTATCTTTTTAAATATATGAAGATCAGATGAAATAATGTATTAATAATGGCACAATGAGGGTCTTGGTTAGAATGACAGCATTTTCTAGTAGTAGGGATTTTGATTTGGTTTAACAACAGCAAAAATGTCATTTTACACTTAATAAAACTAGAAACACACTCTTTTTGTGTGATTAACAGCAGTTTAACCCAATATTTCTCTATAACAAGGGCTCAAATAAATGGTGAATTGTTTTTGAATGGTTTCTTTTAGAGCCCGACCGATATGGGTTTTTTGGGGCCGATACCGATATTAGGGAGTAAAAAAAAGGCCGATACCGATATATCGGCCGATATTATGAAACAAAGCGACATATTTGTACTAGACAAGTATAAAATTACCGCGGATAAAAAAATATATATATTCTGAACCCCATGTGGATATACACAAACTGAGAAAGTCAAAAAGTGTTACTTTGTGCCCCGCTCTCCCCTACCTCTGTAAATAAATACAATATAAATTCACGTCTCGCGCACTTTAATGCCCTTTGAATGTAACGTGTACGTTCCCTTGGAACTGGAATCATGGCGGAATATCAT